GAATCCCGAACCGACGATGACGACGAAGACGAGTCGTCGGAGTTCCCATCTCCGCCCCGGCTCCATCCCCAGATGTTTCCTCCCGTTCCTGCGCCGCCACCGCCGCTGTTCCCATCTCCGCCCCGGCTCCATCCCCAGCTGTTTTTGTTTCAAAGAAAAAAACGAAGGTAAAGCCTAGATCTGAGAGGAGTGAGAGAGAGGTAGGGATAGATGAACATATGATTTTGTTTGGCTGAGAAAGAGAGTGATGTGGGCAAGAGAGAGAGAGAGACACACGGGTAGATGATAGAAATTTGTGTGGTGTGGGTGCGTTTAGGGAAGAGAGAAAGATGAGTGTGGATGTCCCGTGCTTTTGTTTTCAACGGTAAAGCAACTCGTAATTAATACATTCATCTTTTTAGTGCCGCCGGTTAACAAAAAAAATTGTTTTCAACTTTTTTTCGAACTGCATTATTATTCGAATTTGATATTGGGGGTGAGGTGCCATATTTATTGGACCGTCAGTTTTGATATTGGGGGTGAGGTCACCTTCCATGGTTGATATATGTACACCATGCAATTTCTTCCATGGCATAAGTCTTTGAGAAGTAATAAAATACTAATATAATTGTGTTTTTTTTTTTTTTGGAAACTAATATAATTTTGTCTTTAAAACACTAAGGGGATTCGAACCCTTCCTATTTTACTCCTTCAACACCTTGACCACTATATCACTTATGTTTTTGTGAAAATATGCTAAAATACACCTACTCTACACATAAAGATGATGAAAATAGTGAAAATTTTGAACCTCATAAGAACTCTATGCGGTACTAAGTCACTCATGTATCTTACCATGCAATGTATAAAGTGTAAAATATTGTACTAATTCATTATATATAAACGATTATGGTGTGTTTAGACTTCTTTCATTAATTACTACATATTTTCTACACTCACAATGTTTGTCAGCTCGCTATATAATCAACTTGATAATGTTAAATCCATCATGCAATGCATTTCATTCCAATTTTTTGTGACAAACTAATAGATAATTGACTAAATAAACATCCTGCAAAGTTTCAATAAAAATTTCCAAGTTTTTCTTACAATTTCCGTGGTTTCCATGTAATTTTTATCGATATCGATATTATCCCGATATTTCCATTGATATTTCCGTGTTTTCGGACTACCGATATTTCTGATATTACCGATATTTAATACCTTGATTGCAATGATAGTGGTTGTTGCAGGAATTGAAAGTGATTAAAAAAATTCCGAAAATATCACTTTACTTTTTGAACTTTAATTTTCTTTAATTAAAAACTATCATACTTTCTTTTTAATAAAAATCCAATAACTAAGCTCCGACAAAGGAAGAAAAAATCGATAATATCGGCGATAATTAGCCGATATTATCGTTTTTTTGGAGATCCGATATTTTTTTAACTATCCAAATGATTTTCGTCAAAATATCGCGATATTATCGATAATATCGCGATATTTTTAAAATTATCGATAATATCGTAATATAATATTAAAAAATACTTTAAAATGTTGAGAAATCTCAACACATACTAAACTTGATCAAAGCCCAAAGGCCAACCAAGACATGCTTTTCTCAGCATGTGAATGTGCCTTTTATAGGCGTTCTTGGCTTGCTCACTGCCCTCGCTGGGCGATGTGGGACTCGACCAAGGAAGAAAATAGGAATTTCGGCCGAAAATCCACACCCACTTTAAACGGCCATAACTTTGTCAAAACTCAACAAAATCAAGCAAGACAAAAACTAAAGTTGTAGCCCTCTAAGAGACGAAGAGAATGGTACCTCACACGACGTCTGAATCGTCGTGGTTTGGCCGAAAAATGCCTCGAAAGCCACTGAGGTCGCCGGAAACTGGGTAAGATTCAAATGAGTATGACTTTTTCAATACTCAACGAAATTGAGTGAAACAAAAAGGAAAGTTGTACTACTCAACGAGACGAAGAGATTGATACCTTGCACGCCGGCCAACTCGCCGTGGTTTGGCCGGAAAACCAAAACGTTTTGTCTCGAGGGCTGGTACATGTGAACTTGTGACTCCAACTAGGTAAGAGCCAGATCTAATTTGGGACCTTCTATCCTATATTTGTGGACAACCATCAAATGCTAAAGATTAAACAAACATAATATGTTCTACTGCTTAGCAAAAAAAGCTACAAACCCTTTGCTTATCAACAAAAAAAGACAAGTCCTTACACTAGATATACTTTCAAATTACGTTGAGTAGCAACCTGATATATGTATTCGGACGAATTATAAAACAATTGACACACTCCTAACTTCCAAAATTCAATTCTTTTACTTTATATAAACTTGAAAAAACATAATCGGCATCCAAATTAAAGTTTAGTCTTATTCAATGTATTGATTTTCAATCGTTAATTGATATACTATAATTTGGAACTTCAAAGCCTAGACGCATGCTTATCTGTAAGAAATTTAAAGTGTCAAATTCGGCACATTATTCTTCATCATTTTATTCACTTCCCTTTTTTTTTTTTTTAATATCCTAAATAAAACCTCCAAATATTGTACTAATTCATTATATATAAATGATTATGGTGTGTTTAGACTTCTTTCATTAATTACTACATATTTTCTACACTCACAATGTTTGTCAGCTCGCTATATAATCAACTTGATAATGTTAAATCCATCATGCAATGCATTTCTTTCCAATTTTTTGTGATAAACTAATAGATAATTGACTAAATAAACATCCTACAAAGTTTCAAAAAAAATTTCCAAGTTTTTCTTACAATTTCCGTGGTTTCCATGTAATTTTTATCGATATCGATATTTTACCGATATTTCCATCGATATTTCCGTGTTTTCGGACTACCGATATTTCCGATATTACCGATATTTTCTTCCTTGGCTCCGACGCAACAATTTCCTCAATTAAGTTTGATTTCGCATAATTTTGTATTTTTGGATGCCAAAATATACCTTGATAATTTATGTTGGATTAAAAATAAAATCTAATGTCACAATTTCATTACATATTAGTGATGAAATGATATGATACTAGGGTTTTTGGGTGAAATGGTCCTCACACCTTCTGGGACCCAAAAATGACTCCTCCACTAAATAAGCCACTAGCACACCAAACATGAGGAGTAGAGCTACAAATCAAGTAACGTAATACGCACTCCATGGAACATGGAGAAATAGAAGGAAAGTGGGACTTGGAGCCCAAGACTTGAATGCCTATAAAAGGCCAAGAATCCCACCAGCCTAGGGGGGAAAAGGGAAGTATCTGATAGCTTTACAATGTCTTGCAATTATTTTGAACAAAGATTGACTTGGGCGTCGGAGTGTTTTCTTGCAGGACCCCCGCTCTCATTAATGGCAAACGAAGTTGGTGTTCTGGACTTGATTACAATATTACTTGTTGGAGGATTAGAGGATCCGAGTTTTTCTGCTCCAACAGTTGGCGCCGTCTGTGGGAATTCGTACAAAAGTCGTATCAAGAAGTCATGGTCTCCACCTAAGCCATAATGGGGGCATGGGCCAAAACCCTAAATAATGGGTGTGCAGACTAGGCATGTTCGGCAAGGGAGACGCACTTTTAGACTTCTGTGCTGCAGCTGCTGCTTTCGTCAGTTCGACAAGATGGGATATAAGTTTATATAATATATACATATATGTATAGCCTGTCAGCCAACCTCCTTAGTCAAGTTTCGTCAGTCCTCGTTCGTAAATCATATGTCAATCCTCGTTCGTAAATCATGGGTTCGTAAATCATATGTCAGTCCTTGTTTGCAAATCCTCGTACATAAATCCGCGTTCGTAAATCACGGGTTCGTAAATCCTTGTTCGTAAATCATATGTCAGTCCTTGTTCGTAAATCACATGTAAATCCTCGTTCGTAAATCATATGTCAGTCCTCATTCGTAAATCCTTGTTCGTAAATCATATGTAAATCCTTGTTCGTAAATCATATGTCAATCCTCGTTTGTAAATCATACTCAGTCCTCGTTCGTAAATCATGTGTCGGTAAATCATAAGATGTCAGCCCTTACTCGTAAATTATACGAAGATATGATAGGGCGAAGAAAGCTAGTTGAGCACATGTCCCCTCGCTCTCACAAGCTATGGAGGAAGATTGTTTGAGGACGCCTCTGGCGAGGGATTTGGCGAACGTAAGCATGAGGATTGCAGTCAATGCATCTGTGGAAAACACGCCTGAAGAGAAAAGAAAAGCCCAAAAGATCAGACAGTCAAGGATGATGCTTGATAAGCAACTTGTCCTTGAAGAATTGCACGAAGAAACCATTTGAGGAATTGCATGAAGAAACCATTCTATTGGGGCAATAAGTACTCAAAAGATGAGAAGGACGAGACCTAAAGCATTCAATTCTAGCTTGGGAAAACAATTGCACAAAGAGACAATAAGTTCTTACCAAGTCATCAAATAGAACATGTGTTCAAGGTTTCAAAGCAAGGAAAACAATCAAAGTTCACTCTGGCTGCAACAAATGTAATGAAATTGCCTAACAATTATTCAGCAAGCACCCAAGGGTTGTTAGCAAAGGAAATCCATTTAATTCAACAACAACAAAGTTGCCCAACAGATAAGAGTTTCTATCTTACACATGCTCATTAGTAATATTAATGTTGTTCAAATTTCAATTACTCTGGGGGCATGTTATTACTATATAAATTGGTGATCGAAGATCATGAGACCGTAGGTTGAAGACCTAGACCGAATAAGAGCCGAAGGCTCAAGACCGAAGGTCGAAGACCAATATGACCGTGGCCGAAGGCCAAACTCATGGTCGAAGACCATATGATCATAGCCAAAGGCTAAACTAATGATGAAATCTCAAGTTGAATGAATTTTTGCAAAGAAACATTTTTCCTCTACAAACTCTAAACGATCTGTGTTTGCAAAGAAAAAAGGGGGCAATGTGGGAGCCAAAAATGACTCCTCCACTAAATAAGCCACTAGCACACCAAACATGAGGAGTGGAGCTACAATCAAGTAACGTAATACCCACTCCATGGAACATGGAGAAATAGAAGGAAAGTGGGACTTGAAGCCCAAGACTTTAATGCCTATAAAAGGCCAAGAATCCCACCAGCCTAGGGGAAAAAGGGAAGTATCTGATAGCTTTACAATGTCTTGCAATTATTTTGAACAAAGACTGACTTGAGCGTTAGAGTGTTTTCTTGCAGGTCCCCCGCTCTCATTGATGGCAAGCGAAGTTGGTGTTCTGGACTTCTCACATGATTACAATATTTACTTGTTGGAGGATTAGAGGATCCGAGTTTTTATGCTCCAACACACCTATAGGAAGACCATTGCGACAAAGCTAATCTCGCCTAATTTTTTTCTATTTCACTTTAAAAAAAAATTACATCACAAAAAAAAAAAATATATAATATATATATATAATTAGAACCCAATGTGATGATCAAATTAAAGAATCAACTTTAATTTGTCATTGTCAGTGAATTGTTTGAGTGTCTCTTGGTAGCAACCCTCCAATGATGAATTTCTTCTTGTCAATCTTGTTTGTTAAACCATGATGTCCAACACTTGTACACCAAAGAGGCACACTGAAGAGCCACACCAAAGTACATAAAATGGCACAAATCTTACCATAAAACATCAAACCCCACAAAACCATGAGCAGGAAACACAAACTCACAATCGATCTGTAACATACTTTTTTGTACTTGTTCTTCTCAATCCTGGTAACATCTTGGTCTTGTTGTCCTTGCCCTTCTTTTGAAGCATTTTTATTTGCTTCAAACAATTTGTGTTTATCAGAATTAGACCTTGAATTGGCCTTCGAACTAGTACTAGTTGAAGTTGATCGAAATTTGACGGACAAGTACCTCAAATTGGCTTTAAAATTACAAGACGAGCTTGATCGAAAAGATTTGATCCTCTTGGACAAATACCTGATGCTTGAATTGGATGTTTGCGATATCGAACTTGATGAAGAGTTTATAGAAGATGAAGTGAAGATAGAACAATTAGTTAAAAAAGAAGCAGTGTCAGACATCACTTTTGGGTCATCTTCCTTGGAATTGTACTTTGAACTCTCATTTCTTCCAAGTTTCTTTCCCTTCTTTCTTTTTTGAATCTTCTTGGCCTGTCAATATTAATAAATTGTTCGTAAGAATTAACAATATCTTAGAACAAATTAAGATTATAGATTTGAAAGGCTTATTACTTAAAGTGTCCTAAATGATTCTAAGTATCACTTAAACTTTTGTGATTGAATCACTTTCTTACCTCATAGACTTTCACTTTTGATTATGAGATATTCAGCATGTCGCCATTATGTTATCTATATTATTGATATCATAATAATATCACAAAGCAGTTAACAATCAATGCACAAAGATGACGAACTAGGGCAATGTGAGATACGTAATAAAAGTCCAGGAAAAGAGTGATGCACTCAAAACCACGAAGTTTTGAAAAGAATAAAGTTAAAAAGTTGGAAAGAAACCAAAACCAGAAAATTGAAAAGAAATGACAAAAAAACTAGGAATTAAAGAAGAAACCAAAACAATAATACTACAAATTTAGAAGAAATAGATAGACTAAAATGAATATAAACTCACCAAAGATGTATCGAACAAAATCGCCTTCAAAACATTCGATAATTTATTTCGGCCTTTACTTCTCCAATATTGACTGTCACGTTTGTCATTATTTTCTTCATTACATAGCAATGGTGAAGCCATTGGTGACACTTTCGGGAAAACCAAACCTCCCTTTTCTTCCATGCCAATGTATGACCTTTTCTTGGAGATCACTTTCGGCACATCTCCCTCCGACCAATCTAGATTAGAAGTTGAGGTAATTGAACTCTCATTTGTTGTGTTAGCAAAATTCGTTTCAAATTTTCTTTCATGGATCTTCTTAACCTGCTAATGTTTACATATACATGCATACATGCAAAATTAAGAATAATGGTAACATGAGCTAACAACATTCCCCTTCCAGAAAATTAACGCAAAAAAGAAAAGTTCAAATCAAAATACAAAGTAAGGAAATTGGATTCTCATCTCACTAATGTAAATGTGGTTTTTTTTGGTAATAGAAAAGGGAGGGGGAAGAATTCGAATTCGAAACATTTTCCAATGTGAAATAGAATGAGCAAATAGGGTTGGGTGTTTCAGAAGAATAATTGGGAAAAACTGATTGCAATATTTAAGTTTGATATAGCCACAAAATTTTGGCAAAACACATGCATGACATTATTAACTGGAAATTGAAAAAGAGAAAGTAACCAACCAGTTTTGTTTTGACCAAAACTGCCTTTAAAACTTGAGAAAATCCACATCGTCCTTTCTCTTCTTGTTGAGTACAGTGACATTTTTCATCATCTCCTTCATCATTTGATGTTGCCAACGACGACGATAAAGACATTGGTACCACCTTAGGAAACACCCCACGTTCCTTATCATCTATAGCCATGTATGTGAAAACATTCTTAGGAAGTCGTCCTAGTTCCAAAACAGTCACATCAGACGATCGAAAGCATGGGAAGAAATTGGTTATTTTATTTTTCTTCTTCTTGGTCTTCACTTGGGTCGTTGTCGAATATCTATTGGCACTTGTTGTACTTGGGGGACATAGCGGGCTGTGGTTTTCGCGATGCATGGCTTCATTGACATGAACTTTCAGGAAAGGTAGTTTGTCAGCCGAGAAAGTTGGGATTCAAGAATCCAAGAAAACGAGGGTGAGAGGGAACAAGGTGGGTGTCATTTTGGTGTCGAAAATAATTATCTGCAACATGTGTTTGTGGTTTGTATTTGTAACTTGTAAGAAATTTTCAATGGTAAGCCATATTGTTCGCGCTTAGTTTGCTCCTTTTAAGTCCAAATTTATTTAAAAAAAAATTTGAATGCAAAGTGTTCTATTTTTTGACAAATATGGATATGGTGGTTTTCTGTTTTAGGGTTTTTAGATGCGAATCAACCAATATTGTCCAACGAGTTTTCATTTGTTTTGTTTTATATCTAAAACAACTTCATTTGGTTGAAACTTGAATGGTAAAGAGTGTTTACCTCAATTCAACTGCTGGTCTCCACCTTTCAGAACATTAGGTCTCATTTTGGACAAAACGAGAAAAAACCGAATCATTGTTTACTTAGTACAACAACTTAATTTGGTACTCCAAGGGAAACGTTCAATGTAAAACTTCACATTTATATTTGATGGTCTATGTGGTAATTTGACATGTCTTTTATTTTCTTCCCCAACCGAAACGTTGAATCAATAATTTATTTTATTAAATTAATATCACCTTGATATGTGAAAAGTTGAAGCATCACTTTGAATTTTTTTTTTTACCAAACCAAATATATGAATTGACGTCACATTTTGTTTACAGAAACTTTGATGCCAAAGTCACATGTTGCCGATCCACATTAGATTATGATGTTTTGGTTGGAGCAATTTGGCAACGCTTAAATTGGGAGGTTAACAAAAATTAGTAAGGTTAACTCTTGATGAGTTCGGGATTATGAAGCTAGATGATTGATAATGAAATTTAAGAGCTCACCCTAAGAAATGGGTTAAGCCCACTGCAGTGGTACTCGACCATTTCATATAGGCCATGACTGAGCCCTAAAAGTCTTGGGTTCTTAAATCTACCACCGCCCCTTTATTAAATGGGCCAAACATGTAATCACAACATATAAGCTACTTCTCCACTGCTCATTCGACACGTGGAGAAGAAGTGACATACATGGCTATTTGCTTAGTTTCTTGGGTCTACACATACTGACTGTAACGCTCGTCCAAAAGTGGTTGAAACCCACTTTAGCCTAGCATTAAGCTTGACAGTATTACGTCCTTTCATAGACTTATGTTCTCATTGATGGCCAATGTGTGGCCTCGAAGTTGATGTCTATGTAGACTTGCTCTTGGAGGTTTGTGCCATAAAGTTATTAGGCTTGTCAACTATCTTGAGTGCCCATAAAGTACTTTAAGTCATGCATCGGTTCCTTCTTGTAAACAGAAAGTCCAAGGTTCACATAGGTTGTGTAGCGGTAGTCTTTTTGTAGCTACGGTAATGCTTTGTCTATTGAGTCATTTGGGATGACTTGTAGGCCCAATGTCTTTGATCTTTCTTATCCCTTAGTGGGCTCTCTTAGACCTATCTCATTAGGCCCAACAATAACTATATATTATTTTGGGTTTTTATAACAAATGGTCCCTGAAATTAATCCACACCATCAAGATGGTCCCTGAAATTGAAAATCGATCAATGTAGTCCTTAAAATGAGTGTCGCAAATCAATGTGGTCATTCCGTCATAATTCAGTTAAAATTTCTGTTATGTGATGATGTGTCACATAAGTGGGTCCTACAAATTTAATTAAATATTGCTATATAGATTAAAAATATTTAAATAATAAAAAACAATTTTTATTTTTATATAATAAAAAACTTAAAAAAGAAAAAACAAGAAGAAGATGAACTTCATCTTCTTCTTCGCCTCGCATCGAGCAACCACTAAAAATCGAATCATTTGATGTCATATTCTGGCAAGATTTCATGTCCTCGTCCACTCTTTAATTGTACCTCAGACAAAGTGATTATTTTAGAGGTTCGGATACTCTAGAAAATGATACAGAGCATGTTGGTTCCTCTTGTAAATCGGTGAAGGAAACTTGCAATGAAATTGAAAAATGCTAGCAATTTCAGTTAAACCAAGGATTTTGAGTAAAAAGTGAACCACCATTTCTCTTATGTCTTTAACGTTACAAAGGATTACAACTCTTCCAAGTTACACAAACACCCCACTGTCTCCTCTACAAAAGGTGCCCTTGGCTGGTAAAAGTTGGGATGCCTGCACATCCTGGTCGATTAACATCGGGGAGGTTCCATTTTGAATTATCATCACATGAGAACACGAGAACAGCAGGAACCGAGTGCGACGATGCATTTTCAGTGGGATGAGAATGGTGGGTCGTTGGGTAAGAGGGGAAGAAGATGATGAACATTCATCTTCTTCTTCTTCTTTCCTTTTTTTTTTTGTTTTCAATTGTATAAAATTGTTTTTTTAATTATTATTAAATATTTTTAATCCACATGACAATATTTAATTACATTGTGGGACCCACTTGTGTGCCACCTCAGCACATAACGAAATTTTTAACGGAATTGTGACTGAATGACCATATTGATTTGCAACATCTAATTTCAAGGACTACATTAATCGATTTTCAATTTCAATGATCATCTTGATGAGGTGGGTCAATTTCAAGGACTATTTGTGATAAAAACCCTATTATTTTAGTGACCACTCAGTACTACGGTCTGATGGTATTCTTCTTCACTTGGAAGTGAGAGGTCTTATGTTTGAATCTCGTGGATGGCGAATTCGATATCAAATTAGGTTGCCCAGTGTGGCTTAGCCGAACTCCCCCTCCCCTTAGTGTAAAAATATCGACGTAATAAAAAAAAAGACCCTACATTAATACAATTCATGGTGTCAAATGTTAACAGTGAAATTGGAGCATCAGTTGGACTGGAGATGCTCAAAGAAGTTTGGGTTCAATAATATCATCCATATTATTGCAAGTAGTGAAAAAAAGATTTTACCAAACGGACTCTCAATCTTATGAACTCAGTAAAATCAAGTAGGGAAGAGGATTTTCTTCGGATGTACTTTGTGAAGATCCTAGGAATCCCCACATCCTAGTCATTCATCGTATATCGTACAGCCAGTTTTCATCAGGTACTATTTGTGTTTAATTTTAAATAAAAAAAAATCAAATGATTTCGATCGCACGACGTATGATGAATGGTTAAGATGTGAGGATCCCTAAGATCTCCACAATTTGAATCCGAATAGGATCCAATTCCATCAAGTAGAACCCAAATTAATTTCATAAGGTTTGGCTCGAGTAGGCCTCTTAGGCCATTAACCGGCTCTTCTCTTGAGCTTATTTTGTTTGATTGATCTTGCTGCTTAGAACTGGTAGGTGGGTTTGTCTTTCTCTCCAACTGACCCGACCAAAGGGCCATAGGGCTAAAAATAACTCAAAATGACACAAAAACGATCTCCAACCGAGGGCTAGGCCAAAAGGCTTGTGGGCCCCATTGGGCCAAAAAACTAAAATCAGGCCAATGAGCTGGCCTCATCCAGCCAGCCAGACAACCCTCTCCTGGCCCAACAATTCAAATGCAACAATAACCTGGCGTCACCAGGTTATCGTTGCTTTTGAAATATTTTTTTTTGGACGAATTTAAAAAATAAAAATTAAAAAAAAAATCTAATTTTTTTTCCTATGAATACCTAAGCCATTTATCTTCCAATAATTTGGAATTGGATGAGGATCCCCAGTTGGAATGTGAAGAGGATCTAAAGTTGGAATTCATTGCAAACTTGAATTGAAAGAGATATTGGAGAGGGCAAAGATGAAAATGTGTGAATTCTACCCCAATATCCAGCCAATTTATTAACATTGGAAACTGAAGATAAGAAATGCTACACATATAAGAATCTTATCTAAAATTTGCACAACCAATTACATTTCAACACATGGCACTCGAAATCTTATTCGAAAAATTATTGAGATTACATAAAGATAAGAAATCTGGAGGGTTACTCACTTTAGCGACTTGTGGCACTCGAAATCCTATCCGAAAAATTATTGAGATTACATAAAGATAAGAAATCTGGAGAGTTACTCACATTAGCAACACGTATCACTCGAAATCCTATCAAAACAATTATTGAGATTATATAAAGATAAAAAAATCCGGATGCTTATTCATTTGGCAACAAGTGACACTCAAAATTTGTTCGAAAACCTTATTTTAATATGGTAGTTTAATTTAAGTAACCATATTAATTCAATTAAAATAATAAATTATGTTTGGTCTATAACCCTTTGACCCTCTCGGTTGGAGATGATTTTTTGTCAAAGCGCTCTCATTTGGAAATAGTATAAAATATGACCTGACACTCTTCATTAAAATATAAATTCTTGCATGATTATAGAGCTAAAAGAAAGCCCTTTTAACTCTGTTTGGGTTGGAGATGACCTTGGCTTATAACTCATTGACACAAATACAATTTATTTATTTATTCTCAATCCTGGGCTACCAAATTGTTAAAACCTCCCAAAAAGCCTGGTCCTCCAACCCTTGTCCTTCTCGAGGGTCGAGACGAGACGAGGAAGACCAGAGAAATTTCAAAACGTATTCCCTGTTGCTTTTGTATTCAAAAAGCAAAAGCATACAGAAAACTTTGCACTGGTTTAGGGCAAGGAATCATATTCTCTCTCTCCCTCTTTCTCTCTCGTCTTGCCTGTCCAATTTCAAAACCCTTTCTTTCTGCACAGAGAGCGATGCTCGACCCCATGGACCTGCTCCGATCCAATCTCTCCCGGGTACGGATCCCGGAACCCACCAACCGCATCTACAAGCAAGAATGCTGCATCTCTTTCGACACTCCGGTAACCAATTTCCCTCTCACTCACTTTATCTACTTCAAGCTTTTGAATTTGCTTTCGTTTTTCTGTTCAATTTTCTCGAGCTTTCTCGCTCGCCAAACAGAGGATTGCTATGTTTGCTTGTCTTCTGTTTGGCTGCTGAGAAAGTATAGGAAACAACAGGAAGCTGCTATAGCTCCGTTACTAATACGACTGCTTTAATTTTGCTGCACATAGATGATTTTTATGGCTTATCAATTTTGTTTGTTTCAAGTTGTTTTTGTGCAATTTCCACTTTTTATCCCTTTTGTCATAGTGTGGATGCCGAAAAACTGAACCCAAGGAAAGCATGGTTGGTGAAGATTTCTGTATGTTTGTAAAAGCAAATACCGAAAACTTAGCACGAAACTAATTCTTAGGGTTCATTTACCTGGCTTCTTGTGTAATGAATAGTGTTTGGTGTTAGTGTGTCGTCATTGAATTTTTGTCCTATAATT